CAGCTGTCAAGATTATTAAGATCAAGTCTCCTACCCATGCTTAAAAGTTGAGAGAAGAGCATTCCAAGAAGATGGGAACTTCTGATAAATTGAGTAAGGTTTGTTCAAAAACAAATATTTTTGACTACTCTTCCGGAAGCAAGATAAAGAAAAAAAAAAGTGATTGAATTTGGCAACATGGATGTGTTTGGTGATCTTGATGAGCAAAGTCAATGGAGCTGGCAGATCAGGAAGCATATCAGTGTGAATCTGAGTGGAAAGTGTGCAGATAAATCTTTTGTGAAGTTTGGCTATGAAAGGTTGGAAAATAGGATGGTGGCTGGAGGGAGTGTGGGGTCAAAGGAAGGTTTCTATAGAAGGGACTAGCAGATGAGAATACTCTCAAGTGACTCCAAGAAGAGGAAGTTACAGGAGGAAGGAGTAAGCGAAGGTGAGGAAAAAAGCTTATCAGTGCAGGAAGAAGGATGCTGCCTCCATCATGACAGGAGAGGAGATGTGGAAGATGAGTCCAGAGACAGGAGGACGGAGAAGATAAGAGAGGCATTGCTTACTGGCTCCCATGAGTACACTGTGATGTCATTAAATGTGTGGGGCTGAGAAAGGGTGGGAATTTTGAAGAAAGGGGAAAAACATCCAACTAGAGAAACACCACAGGACGATCCAGCTGCACTAAGTGCAGGTGATGCTTATTGTTTTAAAATGTAGGTTTTATTATTATTCAGGTATTGCAAGGCCAATAGATGAGAAAACAGATGCCACTGAAAACACAGTTTATTATATTCACAGATCCCAACAGGAGGGGGCATACAAGGTCAATCAGGAGGTCAAGGGAGAGGGGGGAAGATGAGCAAGAGCCTTTCTTGTGGTTTCCATGGGAAGAGGAGAGGCAGGGTAAGCAGGTTTAGGACTGGCTAGTTTGAATAAATTTCAATGGGCCCTGGGAAGTGGGAATTGGGAATCCTGGGAATCATCCCTGGTTGTCTGGTGTCTGGCACTGGGGTGATTAGGGCAAGGGAATAGTGGCCCTGAAAGTGAGGGGTCCTGGCAAAGGAGGGTGTGGGGGTGGACTCTGGGTGATTGGTTTGAGTATGAAAAGCAGATCTCAGGCCAGCCCATTGCTATCTGTAGGAATTAGTTAGCTTGGGAGGGGCAGTCCCTCCACGGTCAGCAAAGCCCCAAGATGTAAAAGCATCAGAGAAACTAGAAAAATATGGTTATTGGACTTATGAATAGTCTCCAACACAAAGGTCCCGCCCGTGGCCTTTGCCCAGACAACTCCAGGAGCCACCCAGAGCCTCCATTTTAATCTTTTGAATATCTTTTAGATCTTTTAGATAATCTTTTAGATAATCTTAAAGATACCTGGATGTGGGTTTAGACAGGGCCTCATTTGCACCAACCAGAAATGATATTCCCAATCCAAAATGGAGAAAAAGATTATTTTCTTCTTAAGCAATAGGAGGAAAAAAAAAAAAAAAAAGGAAAGGACACAAACAAACTGCCAGTTTAGAAAAGAATAAATAACCAACAAATGAAGAGACAATGACTTCTCCTTTCATTGAAGAATTGCAAAAGTAAATAATGAGATTTCTACTTATTTTTTTGACAAAGATAGAAGAAAGTGTACAATGTTCAGGGTTGGTACTATGGTGGGACCATAAAATAATTTTTAAAAATCTCTCTGGGGTGCTGTTTGGGAAGAAGTATCAAAATTCGTAAAACTGCACCACTTCTTTGACCCAGAAATTTCACTCCTACAAAATTATCCTGTGGAGATGAGTGCACAGTGCTGATGGTTACCCTGCCACTAAATGAAACAGGATGAAAAAGATCCTGAAAAAGTACATGCAGTGGGTCATTGTTCATTTCCTACTCAGCCCAAGTTCACACATATTCAATTTTTCTCAGTGGGACTGACTCTTAAGACTGAACTGTCATCTACATGGGCCTGGGTCAGGAGTCATGGAGTCGAGCCTGGGCTCTCCCTTTTCCTACCCCTGTGACTGTCCATCAGCAAAGCAGCATTGGCAGTGACTTCCGCGGGTAGAATCGTTACTACATGTCTGTCCTTACATCTTCTCCTCTAATCACCATAACTACTCTAGGAGATGGGCACTTCCCCTTTACAGACAATAAAAATGACCTCAGAAAGATTAAGAAATGAGCCCTCTGGCACACTATAAATGGCTGATCAAGAGCCAGAACAACTGACTCAAAAGTCAGTATACCCAGTCATGAAGTTATCCACCTCCCAAGGGGCCTGTCCTCATGGGAACTCAGAATCTTTGTTTCACAGAGTGGGTCTGGTGCAGTGATGTCTGAATTATCTTCTGGCTCTGACCTTCAAGTATTTTCAGCTCCTCTCCTGCCATGCCTAGACCATCGAAGAGCTTGCTGAGCCTGTGAGGATGGAGTGTGCTTCTAAAGTGTGCCTTCTCCGGGGTAGGGAACCCAAATGGCCACAGGTACATGTCCTAATGGGGACAATAAACACCCCCTTTTTAGGTCTCCTGGGTCATTCAGTAGGTTGGGCATTTGACTCTTGATTTTGGCTCAGGTCATGAACCGAGGGTCGTGGGAACCAGCCCCATGTTGGGCTCTTGCTGAGCATGGAGCCTGCTTAGGATTTTCTCTCCCCAACCATCCACTCTCTGTCTTGCCTCCTCTCAAATAAAACAAAAACAAAAACAAAAACAAAAACACCTCTTTTCTTCCCAAGACAGCCTGGCTTGGGATACTGGCCTCTGCTTGGCTCCTTGAGTCCACCTTGTCCTTCTCATTGAGCAAGAAAAAGCCTAGTACCTTGGCACTGCTTTTGCAGTTAATTTCTAACTCAGGAATCTCTTTATGTCAAAAGGTGCAAAACAGAGGCCTTGTATTTGCAGGCACAAGTTTGACCCCCAATGTCAATCATTTGGGGTGTCTACATATTAGGAAAAAGAACAACAACCTGGCAACCTAGGAAAGGAAAACACTGTGCCCAAAGGGGAAAATATTCCACCCTCAAGAAAACAATCTCAAGAAACAGAACCAGAGGATAATTGGAGGAAAGACTGCCAGCCAGGGGTAGATGTATATATAGGAGGCACATACTTGTAAACAGATTAATTCTACCTTTCTGGCTTCAGGTAAGGCTATCTACAGCTCTCTCTTCTTCTAGCCACTTCTTCCCACCTAGCTGTCTTCTAATTCCCATTCTGCTTGGGAGAAGGGGGAAGAAAATCAAGAGACTGGACACTAGGGTCAGACCTAGAGTGAGTCCTTCCTCTGTTGATAATTGGCTTCATTATCTCTGGTTGGCCAGTTTCCCTCTCTTTGAGGCTGTGCTCTGTGCTTTTCTAATAACAATGACTACTATTTCTTCACTCATTCAATGCATGTTAGTTAAGTGTCTACTATGTACCAGGCACTGAGAATATAGCAGTGAACAATAGCATTGGCTCTGTGCTAGGTCCTGCTTTGAATATATCATCTTAGTTAATACCCATGACAATATGCAGTCAGTTATTACCCACCACAGTGTTTTCAAAGTATAGATCACAACCCATTAGTGGATCATGAAATAATTTGTGGATTATATCCAAAATCTTCTTTTAACTAAATACTATAGACAATGTCAACAAGCAATGTACACAGTAATGATAAGAATTTTTTTTATAAAACTTCTAGTGTGTGTGTGTGTGTGTGTGTGTGTGTGTGTGTGTGTGCAGGCACATACACAAGCAACTGCACTAATTTAACTTTTTTTAACATTTTTTAAAATATATTTTTGTGAGACAGAGAGAGACAGAGCGTGAGCAGGGGAGGGACAGAGAGAGAAGGAGACACAGAATCTGAAGCAGGATCCAGGCTCTAAGCTGTCAGCACAGAGCCTGACACGGGGATCAAACTCACAAACTGTGAGATCATGACCTGAGCTGAAGTCAGATTCTTAACTGACTGAGCCACCCAGGCGCCCCAACAACTGTACCAATTCATGGCAAAAAATATTTTCTTTATAGCAGATCCTAGTCACAAAGGCTTGGAAAATACCGCTCTAGAACACAAGTTCTTTGATCACAGGGACTTCAGACTAAGCCTGGCACATCACAGGCACTCAGTTTGTGGAAGCAATGACCCATATTTCATAGGTGAGAAAACTAATTCTTCCCGAAATGAAATACCTTGCCGAAAGTCACACTGTTAGTGGTTGGTAAAACGGGGATTTGGATCCCTGTTACAGGCTCCAAGTCCCGCACATTTAACCACCATGCTACCCTACTTTGCTACTGGAAAAATTAGGGTAGTATTAGTAGTACCCACCTAGGATTATTTCACCAATTGAGTGAAATAATAAGTGACTGCTCTGGAAACATTAAAATCCATTGTGAGGGTTAATCGCCTCTCAAGTTTCTTATCTCAAGCTATTTCTTTGTGATATGTGAGTTGCATGAAGTCAGGGATCTTGCCTATCTTGTTCATTGTTTTCTTTGGTGTGTAGTTCCCTGTTTGGCACAAGGTAGCTACTCAATAAATGTTTGTTGAATAAATAAATGGATCTGGGCAAGCTGAAAGTTTCCCAGCAGGGATAGGCAGTTGGCTGTTAAAACCCAAAACTGCCTCCTATGATGGTGAGTCCAGAACATTCTACCCTATCTTTCTGCTTCCTGTTCCAAATGAGACTCAGTTCTTCCAGATGCAGTGAGACTTGGGGAGCAGAGGATGGCATGTGGGTGGGAGTAAGGGTGGGGTCACAGATGAGAAAACCACCAAAGCAGGGGCCACAGCACTGCACACTTTTTGTAGTTCATATAAATGGCATCTTCTGGAGCTGTGCAGTGCACAACCAAAGCACTCCTCCCAACTGTGGGGAGGGGAGTTAGATCATGCGTTTATCCCATCCATCTCTGTTCACAGGACTCCAGGCATCACAGACTGCGAGGAAAACCCAGGGGGTCAACCTGTCCTTGTCTTTGGGCAGGTCTTCCCCAGATCAGAAGTAGCTGTGAAGAGCAGAAGGAATGGGGCGGCTTTCTTCTCTGACCCTGATGCAGATGGTAGTGGTGGTAACCTCTTGGGTCATAACAGCTGTCACCATTGAGACCTCAGAAGCAAGTAAGTTGTGTGTGTGTGTGTGTGTGTGTGTGTGTGTGTGTGTGTCTAGGGAACAATGCCACTATTAGCAGAGGAGGTCATGCTCTCTCTCCTGTCATGCTTGGAATTTGATTTATTCTAAATACATTTTGATACTTTAATGTATATAGGACTCAGATGGGAATTTTGCTAAAATGCAGGCTCTGATTCAGTGGGTCCTGGGTAGGGCCTGAAATTCTGCGTTTCTGACAAGCTCTCAGGTGATGCTAATGCTGTGGTTCTTAGATCACAAGAGTCTAGAATACCACTAAGGTCCCCTGCCACTTTACTGGAAAGTCGGGAACATACTTAACCACACAGGAGGTTTAAAACACCTAAGTGGCTCCCAAATACCTCCCTTTGCATTCTTAAGAGGTCTTTCCATTGGGTCTTACATCACCCTCATGTAGCTTTCAGCTTCTCCATGGAAAAGGGAGCTGGGCACCTCCCATGAGCTGGAGTACTCGGGGGCACAGTAAATGCCATTTCAGTGTCTTGGTTAAGAGCATATACTCTGTGGTCCTGCCACTTGGGTTTGTGTCCTGGCTTTTACCAACAGAGCACATGGCTTAAACCCTCTGAACCTCAGTTTGCTCATCTTTAAAATAAGGGTAAACACAGAAGCAATCCCCTAGGGGCCATTGGGGAGGATTCAATGAGATAATGAGTGAAAAGCACACATGCAAATTTAAGTGCTTAATAAACAACAGCTCATTATCTTTACGGCTTTTATTGTCATGGAGGATGTCACACAAAGTGTGACTGCCCCTGTCAGGGAGAGCTGGGGAAGTCTTCAGGGAAGAGGCAGGGAAGATCTGAGCAAAAGGCATTAAATGTTCAAAAGTGGGGAAGGGATGACAGGGTCACCTAAATCCTACCAAAGTGTCAAGAACTCTGTATTATTCCTCTGGATGTAGAAACATGGATATTTTAAAAGAAGACACAGTTTGGAAGCAATGCTTAACACAGAAGAATGCACAGTGCAATCATAAGGGGAGTTTTGTTTATTTGTTTTGGAGGGAGTCCTCCAGGGACCAAGTCTAAAGAACATGGTACCCAAAGGGATATAGGAGGACTCTTGGTGACCACTGGTCCAGCTGTCCCTACTCTGAGGCTGGGCTCTTCTGTCCGCAGGAAGCTGCTCTGAATGTCACAGCAATGCCACCTGCATGGAGGATGGGGTTGCCACAACCTGCTCCTGCCAGGTGGGTTTCACCGGCGACGGCCTTATGTGCGTGGACCTGGACGAATGTGCCATTTCTGGGGCACACAACTGCTCCGAGGACAGCATCTGTGTAAACATGCTGGGCTCCTACTTGTGCACCTGCCCTGACGGCTTCCGCCTGATGCCTGGGCTGGGTTGCACCGACGTGGACGAGTGTGCTGAGCCGGGACTCAGCCGCTGCCACGCCCTGGCCACCTGCATCAACCACAAAGGCAACTACTCATGCGTGTGCCCCGCTGGCTACTGGGGTGATGGGTGGCACTGTGAGTGTTCCCCAGGCTCCTGTGGGCCAGGACTGGACTGCGTGCCTGAGGGCGACATGCTTGTGTGCGTGGACCCATGCCAGGCGCACCACATTCTGGATGAGTACTGGCGCAGCTCTGAGTACGGGGCAGGCTACACCTGTGACTCAGGCCTGAGCGGCTGGTACCGCTTTGTGGGGCAGGGCGGCGTGCGCCTGGCCGAGACCTGCGTGCCGGTCCTGAGCTGCAATACGGCTGCGCCCATGTGGCTCAACGGCACGCACCCGTCCAGTGATGAGGGCATCGTGAGCCGCACGACCTGCGCCCACTGGAGGGGCCACTGCTGCCTGTGGGACGCACCTGTGCAAGTGAAGGCCTGTGCTGGCTACTACGTCTACAACCTGACCGCGCCCCCCGAGTGCTATCTGGCCTACTGCACAGGTGAGTGGGCGTCTTCCCCCCACCCCCACCTCCACTCAAGGCCTGGGTGGGCACCACAGGAGCCTGGGGAGCATCCCTGCTGACTGTCTGTGTCTGTGACTCTGCAGACCCAAGCTCTGTGTTGGGGACGTGTGAGGAGTGCAGTATAGACGAGGACTGCAAAATGGATGATGGCACGTGGAGCTGCCAGTGCAAACAGGACTCCAACATCACTGGTGAGGCCAGTGGGAGGAGGCAAGGTGTTGAGAAATGTCAGCAACTGGGGGAGGGACATAGTCCTGTGTGATACATATCATCCAATTTGAGTGAAAAGAAGGTCCAGTAATATCTATTAAAACCAGCAGAAGCTCTCTAGGCTCCTGGTCTCATTTTAGTTGGCCCCAAAGCTCCCAGAGCTTGAGGGACTTCCTTATCCCCACCTTCTTTCTGAGGCTCCCACACCACAGCAGGACAGGGGAAGGTGCTACCTGTTGGCCAAAGACTACCTAAGCCATATTTCTGCAGCCCAAGAACACAGGACTGGTGACCAGCCTGCGGTTTCTTCCACTGACCCCTGGAAGACCCATAGCAGGGCTCTGGCCATCTCTGAGCCTCAGATTCCCCATACGTACAATGATTGAAGCAGAAAAGTATCTCCCAAACTTCAGTCATGATTTTAGTCACATCCAAGTTCCAATTTTACAATTTTTCTTTATGCAAGTACTAGCTTATACTGGGATTTTTATTAGTAACTTGTTTTTCTTTAAATTGATTGAATCCTTCTTCTTTGAAATAAACTTGGGACATTGATGATCACTACTGCATCTATCTGTGGCAAGTAACACCTTCGATAGAAGGTAACAGTAAAAATGAATACAAGAAAAGAAAACTATTAAATTCTAGCAGCTGTGTAATACTTCAATTTTAAAGTAAAAAAAAAAAAATCCAGCTAGGTGTTATTTTGTTCCCCAAACACTTAGCCTGATATCTGCATTCTGTTGTTTTGAAAGGGAAATTAGTAAGTGCAGAGCATTAAAAACATTAGTAACTAGTGAGGACTATCTCTTTGATATAGAAAGGATGGAAAGATACTATAATTAATGTGTTGTTTTGTTTTGTCTTACTGAGATTCAATGTATTTACTGCTGGGGGGTGAATGGATCAAAAATGTTTTCATTTGTATACAATCCACATAGAAGGTTAACAAGGGGCTGACGGATGGCCACTTGAATCCATCCAGTGATTCTCAGAGTCCAATCTTGTGTCTCAGTCCCTCTGATAGGGAAGACCACAGCAAGAACAGACAGAGGCTAATCTGAGTGCCCTCCAGGTGGTGGATAGCCCAACCAATTGGGCCCAGGGCCTGGAGATGTGGTGGACCCCGAATTGTGGTCACTGGCTTCCAATTCCACCTTCCCTGCCTATTTCAGATCTCTCCCACCTGGAGCGCAGGCTGGAGTGTGGGGCCAATGACATCAAGGTGTCCCTGAGCAAGTGCCAGCTGAAGAGCCTGGGCTTTGAGAAAGTTTTCATGTACCTGCGTGACAGCCAGTGCTCAGGCTTCATTGAGAGGGGAGACCGGGACTGGATATCTGTGGTGACCCCAGCCAGGGATGGCCCCTGTGGGACAGTGATGACGGTATGTGCTGGTCAGTGTGGGACAGGGTAAGAGCACTGCCTGGTTCAAGCCCTAGCTTTATCATTTCCCAGTTGTATGAGCCTGGCTGTGCCTCAGTTTCCTCAACTATAAAATGGGATAATAGTACCTACTTCATAGGACTTTTAAGAGGATTAAATGAGTTATTGTATGTGAAGTGATTAGGACAGTGACTGGCACAGTGTAAGTGCTTAATAAATGTTAGCTTCAAATAAAGAGAATGATCCTGATGACAGTTCCCCATTTTACAGATGGGAACAGAAGGGCCTACAGGAAAGTAATTCTTCTCAGCCAGTAGGTATTGGCACTGGGCTCAGAAGCAGGTCTGTCTATCTTGGGTGATCCTGGGAGGCAAGGTCTGCATCACTGGTGTCTAGAGAACCAGGACTTCACCTACAGAAACCTCCTCAAAAGGGACCCAGAGGTCAATGTTTGAGTGAACACTGCTTCCCCAACTCCCTCATCCCCCGGAAAGAAAAGGAAAGAAGACAAAAGAAAGGAAGAAGGAAGTTTTCATTTGCTGCATGTAGCGTTTAAAATTCCAGCATTAACAATGAGTCAGGACATGGTTTTTAGTCTTTTTAGTGTATGAGAGAGGAAACATGGCCTAAGTGGAAGAGCCCAGGCTCTTAGATCCCACGTCTTGTGGGCAAGTTACTCAGAGTTAGTCAGTTTCTATGAAGCCCCATCTCCTCATCATGAGGCAGGAGATAGTAGAGCTTAGGGTCATTGAAGGGGCCAATACAGTGATGCCGGAGGAACATTTCGCTCAGGACCTAGCACGTGATGCATGCTCATAGATGGCTGCTGTTGTTATAACTTTTGATTATGACAGCTGGGAGGACAGCTCACAGGTAGCTAGAGAAACCCATTTGGTTTTGAGTCCTACTCAGATTCTCATGCCCCTTTCTCCCACTCCCACCCTCCAACACAGAGGAATGAAACCCATGCCACGTACAGCAACACCCTCTACCTGGCAGATGAGATCATCATCCGTGACCTCAACATCAACATCAACTTTGCGTGCTCCTACCCCCTGGACATGAAAGTCAGCTTGAAGACCTCCCTGCAGCCAATGGTCAGGTGTGGCCAGAGAGGGTCCCCGGTGTCCCTGGCTGGCTCCACCCCACGACCCCTTAACCACCAGGTCCTCAGCTTCCCTGTCAACTGCCAGCCATAAGGAGCTGGGTGGGGGTACTGGGAGCGAGCATTCCCAATGGAATACAGCCCAACTGGGAATACTGGAGCCCAGATTCAAATCCAGGCTCTGTCACAGACTAACAAGATGGCTTTGGAAACTGATAGCCCCACCCTGGGTGATGGTCTTCAGTGAAATGGACTTAGCAGTACTTTATTAGAAGCACAACAGTGCTTTGCATATGTAAATCAAATATTAGGGCCTCTAGCTTATCAGAGGGGCAGGGTGGTTGGACCAGACGGAAGGAGGGAGGGCTCCTGGTCCAGACCTGCTATTTATATGATACATAAATCATATGCCATATTTGAATCTCTGTTTCCTTCCTTCTCTGTAAAAAGAAGGAGAGTTGACTAAAGAGGGATTTAAAATTATGCCTCTTGGGGTTTCAGGGTCTTTAAGGAAGTGCCTTTGGGGATGCCTACAAGGTGAACCAGAGATGTTCCACCTATAATGGGTGCCACATGTGGTTTTATTACTTAAAAAAATAATAAAAGGATCCTGTTGCCAAATAAAACTGAAAATCTCTGAGTAGGACGACTCACAAGCCAATGATGCTGATGTTGGAAAAATTACAGTTGTAATTAGAACAAGCATTTATGAAGAGCTGACTATATGTCAGGCATTGTGCTAACAGCTCTACAGGAAATCTCAGTGAAATCTTAGAGCACCTTAAGAGGTATAGGTATTACTATTATTATTATTCCCATTATACAGATGTGGAAATTGAGGCTCAGAGAAGGTTGAGGAACTTGTCCGAAAGTAGAGTTTAGTAAGTGACAGAGCTGGGATTCAAACCCAGGCCATCAGGCCCAGAGTCCCCACTCTACCATGGCCTTAATTGTGAAGCTCACCCATGGTTACATGCTCTTTGGGCCAACCAGACTTGGGGAAGGGCACTAGGCACTGATGAGGGTGCCTGGCTTACTTGGGGGAAGAAGGTTGCTCATTATCTGCCTTTGGATGGGTCATCATCTGGTCAAGCAGTTCACTGAAGCAACGTGGTGGCCATGTCTCAGCCTGACAGACTTCAGGGAGCAAAACATCTGTGTGCAGATGTGTCTCTGCTTTGAGCTGGGAATCTTGCCTTACTCCAAATCTGAGTCCAAGTCAACAACCCACTTCTCACTTATAACATGGACTTCTGCTTTACTGCGCTTTTATCATACACCTTGTTTCTAGGGTATCAGTCTTGCAATGTCCTTTATTGGCTCATCCTGTGAAGTCTACATCAGTGCAGCTATTTCCAGTGTGGTTTACTTGTAACCACAAATAAATTTACAAATTTACAAAACCCCTGTCTTCTGCTGTAGGTAGAACCAGAACTCTGACTTAGGCCTGTAGGACTCATAGTCTCCCTTTCAACGGTTCCAGGTTGAGACCAAAGAAGAAATGTAGGTGACTCCCTTGAGAATTTGTTTATTGCACTTCTTAAAGGCAAGGGCTACCATGTGAGGGAGGCAGACATGTGATCTATGGATCAGCAGCAACAGCAACACGTGGGAGCTTGTTAAAAATGTAGAACCTTAAGCCCGACCCAAACCTACCAAACCAGAACCTGCATTTCAACAAGATCCTCAGGTGACCCATGTCTGCTCATTGCAGTTTGCAACCATTGCAGTGGTGGTGGGTTCCAGTCCTACTGCTGGATAAAAATGCAGAGAGCTACCAGGGACTGCCCAGGACTGCAGACCAGAAAGGGTGGGCCATGTGTTGCTGTTCTCAGATCTGGTTTTCTCACCAGCCCCTCTCTCCCTGTAGCACCCTAAACATCAGCGTGGGTGGGACAGGCATGTTCACCGTGCGGATGGCACTCTTCCAGAGCCCTGCCTACACACAGCCCTACCAAGGCTCCTCCGTGACCCTGGCCACAGAGGCCTTTCTTTATGTGGGCACCATGCTGGATGGGGGTGACTTGTCCCGGTTTGCACTGCTGATGACCAACTGCTATGCCACACCCAGCGGCAATGCCACAGACCCCTTGAGGTACTTCATCATCCAGGACAGGTGAGGCTCCTGGATGGAATTCCAGGGAAGAACGGGGCAATCTCTGGATTGGGATTTGGGGAAAAGTACATCTTTATATTTGTTCATCTCTAGCTGAAAATCTAACATTACCATCCACTATGAACATAGGCAACAAATCATGAAAGTATTAGCAGGACATTTGCACGTGTTAATACTTTTCAGTTACTAGAATATTACAGTTTCTACTAGAAATTATTTAATGTATTATCAGTATGTATTTATATATAATAGATATGTAAAAGGGCACCTGGATGGCTCAGTCGGTTAAGCATCCTGACCAGCTCAGGTCATGATCTCACAGTTCGTGAGTTTGAGCCCCACGTCAGGCTCTGTGCTGACAGCTCAGAGCCGGGAGCCTGCTTTGGATTCTATGTTTCCCTTTCTCTCTGCCCCTCCCCCACTCACATTCTGTTTCTCAAAAATAAATAAAAAATAAACGTTAAAAAATTTTTATAATAGATATGTAAATATATAATATATATATATATCAAATGTTTGAATATTTTGAGAACTACACTTCAATTTAACTGGTTTCCTTTATAATCTTAGGTACTTTATGTGTTTAAAACATTATTTTTGAGGAGGGATGCATGGGCTTTACCAGAAGGCTGGAGGTGTCCAGGACTCAAGAAAAGGTTAAGAAACCTGACTGAAAGGTGCACCCACCCAAGGCAGGAGGCAAGCAAGCAGGACTTGGCTGGGAGGAGTGCACTGGAGACAGTTAATCAAGGGCCAGTTGTAAAAGGGAGGACACAGAAGTGCTGCTTTTTACTCCAGAGGCATTGGAGAACCATGGGCCACACTGTGAGAAAATAATTCACACGGTCATTCAAAATGGAATAGATGTTTCTGGAAGCTTACTGTGTACCAGGCTCTGTGGATAACACAGTGCATAGAACAGACAAACCTCTATGCCCTCATACAGCTGATATTCCAAGGGGTGGGGGGAGACCAATAATTAACCAAGATGAAATCCATAGCATGTCAGTGGTAATGGAGCTACAGGAAAAACCCAAAGCAGGAAAAGGGGAGAGGCATTTGCAATTTTAGTAGCATAGTCAAGAAGACAGTGACCTATTCCTGATTCAGTTCTTAGAATGTGTCTAATTACATCAAGGGAAAAGTCTCAGTTGGGTGCTCATCTGACATTTACACTTCTCTGTTATTTGCTAATCCCCTTTGCAGCAGAAAGAAAGCAGAAGTCTGTTTTAGGGCCTTTAGCTGTGACAGTAGCTAACTAAAATTTAATAGCACTGTTTTACTTTGTATTTATCTGTAAATGGTCATGTTTTGCTTATGGCAAGCGATACTGGTTTGCCATTTGTGGTCAGGATCTGAAGATTCTTCTGAAAAAATTGATGTATTCCAATAAAAATTTACATGTATTTGATGAAAATAGTAAGTAGATAATAATACAGATGTTGGGAAACACAGGAAAACATACATGAAGGTGGTTTCTAGGTAAGGCAAAAAAAAATTGGGAAAGGGTTGGCATGATCTTGATTGGGCCATCATGGAGACTTGGGTTCACATCTTGGCTTTGCTGTTTCTTTGTCCAGAGACACAAGCCATCTCATCTGTCTGACTATTCATGTTCTCATATATGAAATGAGCATATGTGCAGTTGAACATGTACGCTGTGGAACGCTTGGAAAGTTTTGAAAAAGAAGCAGGAAGAAATGCTGGATGTGCCTTTGTTTTTCTGTCTGGGCATGTGTGGGAGCTGGGTTGGGGACCACCAGTCTGAGAGAGATGTCAAACATCTCAGGATGTGTAAGGAGGAGCCGGCTGGGGAGACAGTTAGAGGGGCTGGATGCCCTGCTCAGGTTGTGTGCATGGGTCTTTCAGGCAGTGGGTCCCCTTAACCTCAGGGCCTTTATTTTGCCAAGTGGAGTGTGCACTTTTGCAATCAGATCTGAATTGTGGGGGACACAAAGCAAAGAGGTTCCTTCTCAGTTCTTCCTCTGTGCAATCAGCATTCAGCCCCTCTCCTAAATCAATTCTGAGCAAATCATGTAAAATAGCAGAGAAGATGCCCAATTTGTCTGCCCATGTGTCCTGATCCAGCCCAGCACATACATGAGTCATTGCATGTGCAGTTTTGAGTTTAGGTGCCATTGTGTACATTTACAGATGGGCACACACACATACACACACACTCCTATTTGGTCATTGCCCCTCAGGACTTGGAAGTTGCCCACTGTTATAGTTAGAACCACCTACATAAAAGATAGCAAAGGAATGGTAGCTAAGGATCCTGAATGTCATTTCCTAGGAAACCAAGCTGACTTCATTACATAGTTTCAACTCTGTGCTGACCACAGTTTTACTTCACCATCATATATATGTAGCATCTACTATGTGTCATATACTATAGTGAGCACTTTGAAAAGTTAACTGGCTTAATTTTCACAGCTATCTTATGAAATGGGTTACAAATAGTACTCCCTGTATACACGGGGGACTGGGGCACAGAGAGATTAAATTGCTCAAGGACACACAGCAAATAATAGGGGGAGGAGTGAGAGTTGAACCCAGAAGTTTGGCCATAATTGCTTCTCGGCCTTTTGGCTAAGATCAATTGCAGGAAGTTTGGCCATAGAGTGCTTGTTTAACCAACCATGTTTTATGACTTAAATCTCCCAGATGTCCACGCACTAAGGACTCAACCATCCAGGTGGTGGAGAATGGGGAGTCCCCTCAGGGCCGATTTTCTGTCCAGATGTTCCGTTTTGCTGGGAACTACGACCTGGTCTATCTGCACTGTGAAGTCTATCTGTGCGACACTGTTAATGAAAAATGCAAACCTGTGAGTTGCCTTTTCCTCCCTCAGGCTGCTTGCCATGACCTCTCCCTCGCCCATCTCCAATAACCAAAGACATCTGGCCACAAGGTCTAAAAGAAAATAAACATTTTGGCTGTGTTTCTCTTTTAGTCCAGGAATAGAATGAGCAGTAAGACGGGGTGGGCGTGGCCAGGTAAGAGACCTAAGCTGTTGGGAAATCAGGTGAGATCAGTGCATTGCAACTGGCTGGTAAATGCTCTGGCTTATCTGCAGGCTTGTGTTCTGATAACAGAAGCTGACATTTTAAAGCACCAGGTGCACCTTATCTGTGTTAATTTTTTAATTCTTTGCAGTAACTAAAGGGGAGGAATTTTATTAGTTCCTTATATGAGCCACTCAGAGAACTTTGGTAACTTGCTTAAGATCATATACCTAACAAATGGTAGAGGTGGGGCATGAGCCCAGGTATGCAGATTTCCTGACAACCCCTGCTTTGACCATCCTCAAGCCCCAGACTGAGGCAGGAGGATGCCCTTGTGAGGAGTGCAGCCCATTCCCCACGGCAGGACCACATTCAGTCTCCCTCATGGAAGGGTTTCTTTGTTGCCTTCTTCCTGCAGACCTGCTCTGGGACCAGATTCCGCAGTGGGGGCATCATAGACCAAACCCATGTCCTGAACCTGGGTCCCATCACACGGAAAAGTAAGAAAGATACTCCCTCCTCCCATGCTCCTGGTGGGGAATATTCTCTGGAGATGAGGAGGAATGACAGAACTCAACATGTGGATTTTACTATGTTCAGAACTGGAGCAAGTCAATTCTGTGGGGCAAGGTGGACTATAAGCTGCCTTCCTTTTACCAGTTCCGAGTCATGTGTTCTTTCTGTTGCACAAATTTGTTCTTCTGCCTCCTGTGTAGTAGGCCCTATACTAGTGGTTGGGGATCCTGTGGTGAGCAAAAGCAGACACAGATCTGGTTCACATGGAACTTAGAGACCACTGGAGCAGACATTATTCAACTGAGGAGGGATTAACTAAGAGGGGTCAGGGAAAAGGGGTGAGGGGAAGGGAATCTCAGGGTACAGAGGGTACAGCATGGGCAAAGGGCCTGTAGTGGGACGTAGCCCAGCCTGCTAGAGGAACTGAGAAAAGGCCGGGCAGGCTGGAAAGAAGAGGATGTTGGTATAGGATAAGCTGATGTAGTGGGGTCCAGACCATGTGGGGACTTACAGTTGTTGCTAAGTTTTGGGGCCTTTCTCCTGAAAGTAGTGGGGAACCCCTGAAAGGTCAAAAGCAGGGAAATGACATGATCAGGCCCGGGTTTCAAAAAGACTACTCTGGCTGCAAGGAGAAGAGCAAATTGAAGGGCTTTCTCTCAGGATTTTTGCCAACTGCATGCCTTCTCCTCACACTGATCCTTCTCTTTCCATCTACAGATGTCCAGGCCGTAGTCTCAAGGGCTGCTTCCAGCAGCCTGGGTAAGTTCAGGTCCCCTTTTCAGGGGGCATCCACGAGAACCTTCCTCTGGGGCTTTTATCTATAAGCCCAGGATGTGCTGGAGCACCTGGCCTGGTTGGCCTGAGCTCTGAAGAGGTGACTACACCTGTGGAAATGCCTGGTCCTGGTGATGTACATATGCACATATATGTATGGTGTCCCCCACTAGTGCACATGTGCACACAGACACAGGCATGCATAGATAGGCACCCCAGAATGTACATCACCCAGACATGTTTGCACACACACAGACACACACACACACCAGGTCACATGCATATATTCATATTTGTACACACAGATGCACAGACAGCTAGAGTTGCATGCATGCATATTTGCAGGTACAGACACACACACAGTTAAACAAACTTATACCTAGTAGACATGCACACACTAGATCTGCATCCTGGGCACTTCCTGAAGCTTTGTGATTTATCTCTAACACTATTTTCAGGATTCACTCAGCAGGTAACAAATATATGTTCAGTGCTACTACATGCCAAAGACAATGCTTAGTTCCAGGATGAACACAATAGACAAACAAGAAACCCTGTTTCTCTGCTTCTCTGATGACAAAGGCCAGGGACAGGTGGCATTTTATGGCCTTTGACTGACTTGTCTGAAAATATGGATGAAAAGTGAATTAATGTAACTGTTGCCCTTCTTGGCTCCTGGTATCTAGATCTGAAGGAGTTGTTACACCAACCTAGTGTTTTACCTGAGCTAGTCCAACCCTGTACCAGTGACCTTGGAACTGGAGATCTAAGGTGTTCCTAAGAGGCTTCTCCTCTGTGAATATCTCAAGGTTACAAAGGATGCTTGAGTAGGTTGGGCCCTGCACATCAGTGTCCTTTTGAGGGGCTACCAATGCCCTTCCTAATGCCAGAGGAAAGACTGTCTTCTTCAATCTGGTCCACCTGAGAGGGCACCTTTCTCTATTTTTCTACTCTGAGTGGCACCTTTCTCTAATTGGATTTCGGAGCAGATCAAGAGAAAGAAGTTTCCTTTTTCTAACTGATCAGCCCAGAGAGGGTATCCTTTCCTAACTGGTCAGTCTAGAGGAGGCACCTAATGTTAGTTTTGCACAAAAACACATCCGTGTTAGCAGCAGCCCTATAATTGCTTTCTTTGCAGGGTTCCTGAAGGTCTGGCTGCCTCTGCTTCTGTTGGCCTCCTTGACCCTGATGTCTCAGTGATAGGCAGCTGGAAACCCTATGCTCTGCGGCTCTCACTTCCTGATGGCTGTAGGTGATGCAGTTTAGTGCTCCAGCCACAGAAAAGGGTGCTCACACTTCAATCAACCTGCTCCTCTTGCCCCGCCTTTGATCCTTGCTATTGCAAAACGGCCTGTATCTTTAAATTCTGCCATCTCTCAAAATGGGACTTGTGATGTGTCTGCACATAAGGTCCCATGTCTCCTTAAAAAGTGTGGCAAAATAATAATAATTTTAAAAGCTCGGTCTTTGAAGTCATTCATTCATTATTTTTCATTGAGCATCTACTATATGTAGGAACTGGTCATAGTGCCAAGGATCCTGTGGTAAAAAAAACCAGGACTCATGGAGTTCACACCCTGGTTGGAGAGACTGGGTTTAACTGGTTCTGCTGTGTAATCTTAGACAAAATACATGATCTGACTGAGCTTCATCCATCCATCCATCCATCCATTTATTCAAGAAATATTTGCTGAGCATCTCCTCTGTGCCAGGCACTTCTGGGGATACAGAAGTGAGCAAGTAAAACACAATCCCTCCACTCCTGGAGTTTACAGTCTGGCAAGAAACGGAGTGAACCTAAAAGGTGATTACAAGTGTGGCAGGCATGGTAGAAATGGAAGGTATAACTGGGGGCTGCTGCTGCTGTATAATGGGACCAATAATGATGCCCTCACAGGGTCTATTCAGCTTTGCAAAAACATTTATGTGAGCACCCAGTACGTGCCAGGTACCATGATGGGAGCTGGGGAAAGACCAGTGAATAGGATAGATGCAGTCCCTGTGTTCAGGAGTCTCACAATCTTTAGAGGTGATGCACTGACACAGCCTACAGACTTCCTTCCTTCACTGCACTTGTCCCTCTCCATCTAGAAGATGTAGGCCTGTTTACACAGCCACAGCAGCAGCAGCAGTGGAGAGAAGACCCACTACCCCCATTGGCCAGGGAGGCTTCACAAGGCAGGGGTTGGTGGGGTGGGGGGCTCCAGGAGTCTCACTGAAGGCACAACCAGAAATAAGAGGCTCTTGGGCCCAGGAGACCCAGATATTCCAAGGACTCTGGACTTGAGTGTCAAGTGGGCCAGTAGAAGCCAGTGTGATGGGAAATGTCTGCCCTGACACCAGCTGCTTCCTGGAAGTCCAGCTGTGGCTTTTCAGGACAGACCAAGGCCCTGTTGCTTTATTAGAAACTTCTGACCTCAGGGAAAACCACACGTGTGTATCAGCAAACAGGGCTATGGGGACAGTGTATCTTGAACTAAAAGATCTCACATGCGGGCACACAGACATGCACTGAATCCCCAGGCCTGCTGCCTTTGCAGAAGGGCTTTATGTAGGAGGACTTCAGTGCTGAGCCTGGCCCTGTCTATGGTCAATCCATGCTTAGTGGAGCCTGGTTGGATCGTGTGCAGATTTACTTTGACTCAGGTACAACCAAACATGAAGAAAAATAAAAATGCCAAAGGCAAGAGCCAGGGAAAAGAAAACACATCAGAATTAATCCTTTCGTCCCTCTGCTCCTTTTTTCTTTTCCTTTCTTTTCTTTTTCTTTACTTTGCTGTTGTTTGTTTTTTTTTTTAACAATGAAGGAGCAGACTTCTGTTTATTTATTTTGAGAGAGAAAGAACAAGAGAGTATAGCATGAGCAGGGGAGGGGCAGAAAGAGAATCCCAAGCAGGTTCCACATAGTGTGGAGCCTGATGCAGGGCTCAATCCCAGGACCACAAGACCATTACCTGAGCCAATATCAAGAGTCAGATGCCTAATCAACTAAGTCACCCGGGTGCCCCTACTTTATGGTTTTTTTTTAATCAGTTAGGTATTCAACTGCAACATTCAATAGATACTTTAAGCATAAATTAAATGCTAGGCACTTTTCTAGGCACCACAGTAATAGCAAGTAATCAAAACAGAGTCCTTGCTGGTAAAGAGCTTAAGTTTAAAAGGGGGATACAATTAAACAATAACTACGTGAAATGCCAGTGACATGCACTTTGGTGTAAAAAACAAGGAAAAGAGAATAGAGCTATGGGGGTGTTATTTTATATAGGATGGTCAGGGAAAGTCTCTCTGATAAGCAGAAGCTGAGACAAGAGAATGAACTAGGGGGATATCTGAGGAAGAACATCACAGGCAAGTGCAAAGGCTCGATTTTGTGTCTTCTCAACAAGGTTTCACTAAGAGTTGAACAGCCATAAATTTTGAGGCATGATTTGCAGGAGAGGCTCTGAAGCATGCATGTTGTGATTTTTTTTTTTCCATTTGTTTACCCAACAAGTACTTACAAGGCGCTGGTTACAACTGCAAAGACAGGATCCCTGTCCACAAAGATCTTAAAGCCTTCAAGGGAGACAAATAAGTTAGCAGATAATTGAATGGAACTGGAATCATCCCAGACAGGCACAGGGGCAGAGAAGAGAAACAGTGGCAAGCCTGTGGTGTTCAGGAGTCTTCCTGGTGAAGGTGGACTTAAATATGTAGTAGGAACAGTATGGGAACAGTATGATCTAGGCAGAGGGAATAGCATATGCAAAGGGCTGGAGGTAGATAAGAGCTCAGAGAGCCACAGATTGGCTGAAGCATAGAATGTGTGGAGAGGAAGCTGTAGACGAGGTAGGAGCTGTGGCCAGCTGTCAGATCCCAGGAAGCAGGAAGTTATAGGAGTGGGGGAAAATGCCAAGATGTGATACTATGGCATTTGGCCGCATGGAAGGTAACAGAATCAAAGGAGGCAAGAAAGAAAGCAGGGAGACCCACTAGGCAGCTATTAAAATCACCCTTATCATGGGGCGCCTGGGTGGCGCAGTCGGTTAAGCGTCCG